TTGATGTAATTTGAAGAAAAGCTCACTTTAAAACCTGCTACATTTGCTCTGTCTCTTCATCATGAGATCACTTAGTCTTCAGCAGTTTAGCCTCCTCAGTTAGACAGAGAAGGATGTCATCAGTGAAGAGGCTCAATTTATGTCCAATTGCCCCTGTCTTAATTCCAGTGATATTGAGGGTTATTGTATATAGGAACTGCAAATGGATCTGCTTTTATCACAGATATGAAGGTGGGGATGGGAACATCCGTGCTCTCTCCCATATCCCACTGTAAATAGTTCTGATGTGTTGAGGTCGGGTGGGTGGATCCAGTGTTCCACCTTCTTCCTGTCCTGTCCATTCATACACAGGGAGGGAAATAGCAATTCCATAGAAGCTACTCTCCTCTCCACGATGCTACCTGTGACCTGGAGAGCCTGCTCATGGGAGTAAGGGCACAATCTGGCCCTTACCTTGTCTTCCATTCTCACCCACTTCTCACCCAGGCAGACCTTCAGTGAAGGCAGTGGCTTTGATGAGTGGTCAATGAGAGTTTTGCTTACTCAAGGTGGCCTGGTTAAGGTCAGAATTCAGGCTGTAATTTTGCACAGTGTCAAAGCTCTGTACAGACATCGCCTTCAATCCTTTGTGCTGTGGGAATGTTTCTCTATCTGCCCCTAAGAATGTTTTCAACTGGAGGCCGTTAGCAGAGGTGCAGGAGGATAGAGCGTTTGAAGTCAGTCTTAAAAAAATAGGTGTACATCTTTCCCTTTTATTTATGTCGACTCTACAAATAACTAAAAGCAGCATTTGGCATTACAAAAACAGCAAAATAAAGTAAGGAATTCGAAATCATATATCTGGATTTTCCTGGTTACTGATGTAGTTAAAATATCAGCAGGGGGAAAGTAAATCCAGATATTTAGAAGACCCTGGGACCATCTTTTGGGACATTTTAGAGGTGCATTTAGGGCTAGATCCAAAGAATATTGAAATCCATGGAATTCTTTCTGACTACCTTCTGCAGTTGCATGTGCAAATAAGACCTACAATTACTCACTTTATGAATGCAATCATGATAACTGTACCCATGAAATACCCCTGAAGACACAAAGCTGTCTAAAAATCCATCATTTAAAATGAGAAGGGTAATTTGCACAATGGAAGATCAGTTCTATCTTTATTCCTCCATCACATTGCAAAAGTAGAGTTGAAGAACTTTGAGTGCTGCTGGCTGTATGAGAACTTTCCTCTATTGCCAACTTAATAATACATGAATACTGATCTGCCATATTGACTGATGACTCCTGCTCCTGACCCTGTTTTGTTTTTATTGATTGGCTTAGGCGAGTTCCTGAAGTCCTGAATCATCAGAACAGAGACCTTGAGTTATTCCAGCCAAATCAATCCATGGCCCATTGACATATTGCTTTACCTAACCAACCATACACCTTCTCTTTTCCCTGATAATTTCTCAGTTAATTGCTTTTTAGCTCTCATTCGTTACAAGGTCAGGCTGTGACTGGGCTTATACAATCCCATCTCCGATAAACTCTCCAGGTCCTCTAATCAGCCACAACTGGGATTTTAGTTCCATTAACTTATTCATCATCTAGACAGTTCCATCTCGAAAAGTTTGACTCTTGATTGTATCTGTAGTATCTTCAATTATTTAAGAGGAATTGAAAATAGCCTCCTCGCTTAACAGGAAGGGTGTATTCCAACTACTGAAAATGGAGCTCAGTGAGGACTGTTGTTCTGTTTATGTTCGTTGTGCATGAACCCAAGCTGCAGTTGTCTGGGGAGATCATAAGGGTTTGCTGTTGCTGAACATGTGTGCACAGGACTGATTATTAAGATGTCCAATATAGGAGAATGACAGTGGACTGATGACTAGTGGCTTGATAATGCTAAACTGAGTCTGAGATTCTGTCCCATGATGTCAAACACTGATTCCGTTTCCATGGGAAGTTATGCAAATGACATAGCTCCTCAGTGAGATGTGACACTGAATTTGCTAGAGAAAATGACTTGTTCTCCTGGCAAAATACCTGTTTCTAAAATCCCACAGCCAGCTGCTCTTGGAAAGGTGACACCTTCTGCATTTGTTAGAGACCATTAGTACCATCAAGAGTGGTTTCGCAGCTCACATCAGCTGACTGGGTGCAATCGGTGAGCCATATCCTGGAGTTATTGTGTAACCCTCTGGCAAAGTACATGTTGCATCCCTCTCTAGCAGCTGGCCCACTAGAGGACGAAACCTCACTACTGCTGATTACTAACAGAATTACTCTTGTAGCTGAAGCAGTAGGGGTCTGTACTGCAACACTGTAGGCCTTGGGTTCCATTCCTGCTAAAAAGCCATGCTGGGGGTCATTATACTTACTTACCCCTTTTGCTGAAGCCAACAGTGCTTTATTTGAGTAAAAACTAGGAATAAACTCCAAGATCTGGCCTATAGGTGCTTTTGGGGCCTTTTGAGACCATTTGAGGCTTATAACTTCAGAAGAACCAATCCTAGATGGGGATTGAACTGGTCACAGGAACGAGCAGTTGAAAAGGGAAAAAAAAAACATTCGGAAGGATGAAGAGCTTTGGCATATTTCATAAGGGAGCCTTCCTTCCCAGCATTACATACATATCTGTGTAACTGTTATACACGTGAAAAGAGAGAGACAAGCTTGTGCGACAAGCAGGCTGTCTGAGCGGTTTGACAATGATCCAAAGCTCATGGGTGTCAATGGAAAGACTCCAGTTGGCTTTGGGATTAGTCAGTGTCACAATCTTTAGCATGACTGACAAGATAAGGCTTGCACTGCTCTCCAGGCCAAAGGTTATGGAGAAATCTGACAGGGCTCGGCAGGTCATTTGAGGATGGGCGTGTTTCAATGTCAGGATATATTTGTGCTTGCATATCATGTGGCGCATGGGCATCTGCGAACATATGGGTGTTTTCAGGTTTGTTTATGGAGAGCACATGTACCTAGCTATAAAGCGCCTTCACTGAAAGCTTCAAAAAGACTGGCTAGCTCTCTGATGTTATTCCCAGAAGCACAGTTTCTTTGCACGGGGGGACGATATCATATCACAGTACAGCAGACTGGCAGTGCTGGTGTAAGTGTGTGTGTTTGTGGGGCTACCAGATGGTACCAGTGTGGAGCCGGGGACTGTGGCTTTAGAACACCTCTACTAATTAACCTGAGTCATGAACGTCCAGATGCATCCGCACTTTTACTACCTCGAAAAAGCAAAAAGGCTCTTAAAATGTCTCCACGCTTGAAAGGCAAGGCTCTAATACAGGTTAATATAGAAACACTCTACAGTCATCTCTGATACGTTGCCTAAAGCTGGTAAGGTGAAAATCTACAGTCACTTCTCCACGGACTCCGAGCTGAGGTATTTCAGTGGCAGCTCCAGGAGCAAGCCTAGCTGAGTCAGCTGGAATTCCTTGGAGGGGGTTCCTAGGGAATAAATTCTGGAGTGCCTCTGTTCTCCACATGCAGATAACAGCTGTCAAGTCTTGTCATTCTTATCATGGCTCGCCTGATATTTGGTGGCTTTTCTTAAAGCCCCAGCTCCTGGAATCATGCAATTGTGTGAGAATCTCGGCTTTCATTTTGAAAAAAAAAAAACCATCCCAGTTTGTAGCCCTACCGGTTGCAGGAAAATCTTCTATATGTGACCCCTAATGGCTGAAGAAAAAGAGGGCAAATCCCCTCCTTCCCCTGAAATGAAGTTTTAATTATAAATTTGTCCTGTTTTTAAGTCAACCTCATTATTTTTGGATAGCCTGGCTCATAATTTTTGAACGCTTGTGATTGGTAATACTGTGTCCTGTGGAGCAGACCAGGTGCCCAGGGTTGTGGGCTGGCAGAAAAGCCTCTACTCTTTTCCAGGAAGAAAACTGCAGATGGCTCAGGCAAAAATTCCTGAGCCACCTGTGGCTGTTTGCATGGTGTAAACAGCTGGTAAAACTGGCCCCAAATTTTGACACTTGAGACAATGTTGTGAGCATTGGCCATATGGTTAGACTGTGTCTTCCCTTTGCTTCTAGCTGCCCAAAGCAGGCAGCTATGAGTTCTATACACGCACATACTGTCAGTCGAGCTGACTTTTATTTTTCATTAAGGAAAATAGTGAACCAAGAAGGAATCAATATAAAGTCCCCCTGAGAGAGAAAGCAGTGCCTCTCTGAGATCCCTCACACGAGATTGGCAGTAAGACTTTGTACTGCCCCTTTAAATGTAAACCAAATGCAGAATTATAGCTACGTAGACAACCAGAGTGAAAGAGCCCCTGGAAAAAGAGTAAAGGATAATCATGTTGATCAGGCCAACGTTCGAGATTCAAGTTCTAACCCACCTTGTGGCCTGCAGCCTCATGTCATCTCATCTGTGCACCCAAGAACATGGAAACAATTGCTGAGCAGATAATGGATGCCTCATTTGCTAAGTTCCTGCAATTTCACTGCTTTGTACAATGTCTTGATTAGAAGGGAAAAATATAAAACCTAGTTTTTTCCAACAGTGTGAAAACTAACCTACAACACATGCCCGCACTGAAAAGCTATGCCCTTGCTTGCCCTTCCCCAAGCAGCTGATTGCCTGGTTCCCTACTGCCCCTTGTAAAGTAATTCCCAGAGGGGAACAACATTACAAACAACTTGAAGAAATAAACATTTCTTTCTCCTCCTGTTGCTGGCAGCTCCTGCTATGTGGTTTTGCGAAGGCCTCTTCCATTCCTGCTTTGACTGCTGGAGCGGGCAGGAGAAAGAAAAAGAAACCTAGTTGCTTTCAGTCTCTGCATCATGCTAAACAGCTCCAACGACAATCTTTACAACACTGTTATACTCAGACATAAAATCTTAATGTATTATATATAGTGCCTTGCATCTTACATTCTGCTGGGAAAAAAAAGGTGAGTCCCCAGTAGTAAATGAAATATTAAATATTATTAAATATGAAATAGCTAAACCTGTATTCCAATAAAATGAATCTTTCATACTTTTCCTGTTTTTTCACCCCAGGGTGTGCAATGATCTCATGAGCTTTTATGTGTCCTTTTAAAGACGTAAAATCAGAGGTAATTTATGATTCTGTTCTATTCAAATGTACTGTAGTAGGAAAACAAATCAAGGATGTGAAAATCTCTTATGGCTGCATCTACCTTGCTGAACCAGTTAACAGACTATATCAAAGGCTCACCTAAAGACACTGTTGTAATGCTTGCTGACATATGCCACCTATTTAGAAAGCTTGTTTCCAGTTATATACTCTACTTTCATTTATAGTGGCTTTAATCTTCCACATATGATAACAAAATCTTTTGTTATTGGATGGGAGGCTTTTATGGTTATCTTTGTTGTTGCATGGAGATTCTCTTTGAATTAAACTGTTATTTTGGTGGGAGTTCTGATTTGTGTTACGGAAATTGGACATAAAAAAAAAAACCTACAAGAGACAGATGTAAGAATACTAATTTTATAAAGTCACCATTTATTAGGGATTGGAAAATATGGGATAGGTTTCCTAGGAGAAGAAGGCTGTTGGAAGGGAGAATACAGGTTGGCTTTCAGGTTAAGACAGAGGACGGAGACTAAAGAAATCTAGGTTCTAGCAGCAATTATTTCATGGACTTCCCATGTGACCTTGACTCCTGTCAACCATTCTCAGTTTCCCCATCTGTAAGGTGGGGGCAATAATACTCACCCCCAGGGATGCTGCGAGGCTTAATTCATTAATATTTGTGAAGCAGCATGAGAATCTTTGATCAGAAAATCTTATCCATACTCTTACAGTTGTGGTAAGGCTCAGCATACTGTGGTTCAGAGGGGAAACCATTAATTAATTCAACAAAATTATTATATTTTCTGATAAAAATATTCTCAGATCATACTGTCCAAATGTGGGCTCCCACAAAGACAAGCTAATTCTTGTATGTAGATGCTCAAATTGGCAATGATGTGTCTCAATGTTCATCTTTCATTTAAAGGCTTGTTTAGGTCACCACATTCAAAACATGTTTAATGACAATATTAACTGTTGTGTATTCAATAGGAGGAAGAGGTACCTTTAAAAGAGGGTTGGGAGAAGTCAGGGCATCTATGATCCTCTCGGAAGTCCACATTTCCATGCTTCTGTTCAAGAATATTGCCTCAATCAGGGAGGCAGCATTGCAAAGCAAAGGCTGTATTTGGAAGGAGTTTATTTTATTAGGACAAACTATATTTTTGTGACTACTGCTGAATCTTCAGCCTAATATACTATGCAGTTTGGGGGAAGATGAACTCCAGAATGTGCATGAATCAGCTGATCACCCTGCAGAAATAAAGTCAGATCGTTGATTATTGACTAATGGTTGAGGGTATGGCTACACGGCAGTGTAAACCCAGGGTTAGTGAGACTCAGATCTGCTGACCCTGGGTTTGCAAGTCCAGGCCTTAAGTGTGTGCACACTGCATATTGACCCTAGGTTAAGAATTTCTGGACTCAGGCCCCAAACCTCAAAGGGTATGTTTACACTGCAATAAAAGGCTTCTGGCACAGCTGCAGGGCTCCAAAATTGCAGTGTAGACGTTTGGGCTCCTTCTGCACCCCAGGCTCTGAAACCCTGCAAGGGGGTGAGGGCTGGGTCTGAGAGCCCGGGCTCTAGCCTGAACCGGAAGGTCTACACTGCTATTTTTAGCCCTGCAGCCCGAATCCCATGAGTCAGCTGACCCGGATTCTGAGACTCAGTGCTGTGGCTTTTTTATTGCTGTGTGATGTACCCACAGAAGCTCGAATGCCATAAACTGATAATTATAGGCATCCCATTCTATCCTGCCTTTCTTTATATCACATCCTTTTAACCTTCTTTAAGACACTTCCTGCCTTCCATGGTTAGGCAAAGCAGGAGACTCTGAAAGGAAACCCCCCTGTGCTCACTGTACATATGACCCTGACAGTCAATTTACACCTGTGTTGTCTCCCCATCTATGCAGGCTGGAAAGCGAGACAATGTGAGAAGAAAGGCAACACATTCCACAGTGCAATGGTAGAGTCCATGTTCTTTGATAAATTTCATGGTTTTTGTGCTAATGCAGTTCAAATCATTTTAAAACAAGATAAAATGATTTGAACAATAACAATGTGTGCTTTTGAATGTGACTCTACTTCAGATGAGAAAACAGGAATGTTTGGTCAACCGCAATCGTCTCACAGCCTAATCAGAAACATACGCTCTTCGTCTGCTTCAGTCAGGTCTTTTTGTTACCTCTTTTGGCCCGAGACCTTTGGGATGAATCCCATCTTTATTTATTTCTATATTTTAATGCACCGCCTTTGGCTGCCACACATTTTCATCACAAAGATTTCAAATTCCCTTAGAGCAACAGAAAACATGTTGCAAACTACTCTGAAGCTTAGACATGAGCATGTCAAATATCTGATCTATATAAGAATAGATAGATGTGACATTTAGTAATCATCTTTCTTAGACAAAATGGGGGATGCTGTCACTTTAAGTATATCTCAGTCGAATTTCTGGCATTTTACCATAGGGGAAGCAGGAGGCATAATAGTAAATTTCTGTTAATATATAAAAAAGATCAGCCCCAGAAAAACACAGTTGCTACTATTTAAAGTGCAATACCTCATCCTAGCTTGCCTTGCCATTTACTTTCTGCTGATATCCATATGTCATCACTAATATTTACTAATGTTCACTTTATAAATGACTTTTCCTAGCTGTCAGAACATTTACCGCTAGTATCTATTCCCCCACTATGCATCTTGTCCCCTTTTAACAAAGATTCATATCTTTGAGGTTAACCAGAAAGTCAGATACTCTGCAAATAGGTTTGGCAGAATTCATTTTAAAAAATAATTTCAATGGATAATATAGAGATTTATTTTTTAAGAATTTTAGTATTTATTTTTATCTAGTTACGTTTTCACAGTTATGGTATATTATGGGGGGGGGGAGTCAGTCAATAATTATTCAATGACTGTAGCTATTGAGATTCAAAAAGTTAAAGCTTTATAACCGTAAAAACACAAATGGTCAAGATCACCTGTCAAAACATACAAAGCAAACAGACTTAAATTGAACTCTAATAAGTTCGCAGACAACATTCTTCTTACTCTGCCTATCTGTAAATTTAGTTGATTATCGATGCAAATATTTTTTGTCTGTGTGTGTTTGGTGAAATCAACCTTTAATGACATTTGCCAATAAAAATCTAACCCTTCCAAGCCGAGATGTAAATGACACTTTGGGTCTAATTTTTAAATAAACTGGGTATGTAATTGCTGTGGCCCTGCACGCTGATCAGGTAATTGCCAGCATACATGACCATAATTTGCTCCTTGCACGTCAAGTTGGGGTAAGAGTGTATTTGTGCACACATTTTGTGTGAGCAATGGCATCTGAAAAGTAGGCCTTAAGAAGATTCATTAACACTAAAATAGTAGATGCTCAAAAAAAAATGTGGATTTTAATATAATATAGCTACAGTGAAACACCAATATGCTTAAAATATATTTATGGTCATAAATATGCATTTATGATGCATCCGATGAAGTGAACTGTAGCTCACGAAAGCTTATGCTCAAATAAATTGGTTAGTCTCTAAGGTGCCACTAGTCCTCCTTTTCTTTTTGCGGATACAGACTAACACGGCTGCTACTCTGAAATATTGTCATAATAGTGACTGTGTGAAAAAATATAACAGCTTTGTTTTTCATATTTATTGTCCATCAATGACTTCTCTATTAAATGTTTTCAGTGTATGAGTCCAAAGAAGATTTTTCTAACTATCAGCACTGCAGCTCAACTCGCTATATGAAATTCTAAACGTGTTCTATCTGCTTTGTACATCTTCTGTGACAAACACCTAGAAGAGTGATTGAAAATTAGATCTTAGCTGGCAATTTTGTTGATGAAGCATGAGATAGTTACTTTGGCCCTGTATTGCTAATAGCAGTCAACATGCATTTTGCTACTACAGTAGAACTTCAGAGTTACGAACACCAGAGTTACGAACTGACAGGTCAACCACACACCTCATTTGGAACGGAAGTACACAATCAGGCAGTAGAAGAGACCAAAAAACCCTCCCAAAGCAAATACGGTACAGTACTGTTTTAAACGTAAACTACTAAAAAAATAAAATAAAGGGAAAGCAGCATTTTTCTTCTGCGTAGTAAAGTTTCAAAGCTGTATAAAGTCAATGTTCAGTTGAGCATAAGCTTTCGTAAGCTACAGCTCACTTCATCGGATGCATACTGTGGAAAATTTTCCACTGAATGCATCCGATGAAGTGAGCTGTAGCTCACGAAAGCTTATGCTCAAATAAATTTGTTAGTCTCTAAGGTGCCACAAGTACTCCTTTTCTTTTTGCAGATACAGACTAACACGGCTGCTACTCTGAAACCTGTCAATGTTCAGTTGTAAACTTCTGAAAGAACAACCATATCGTTTTGTTCAGAGTTACGAACATTTCAGAGTTACGAACACCCTCATTTCCGAGATGTTCTTAACTCTGAGGTTCTACTGTAAATTAGAAGGTGTGACTTGGAATATAAAGTTTGGATCCTAGACCCTTTATATAAACTATTCCTCTAGTGGCTCAAATCAAAGTATCGCCTGTAAGAATTGAAGAATCAGGCCCAAGGAAAACAGATTTGTGTGGATACCTGGTTTAAAGAGTTACTTTTCTGACCAATAAGTTTGCTTTATAGACAGGATGGTCTTGTGGTTAAGGAACTGGTGTGGCAGTCAAGATATCATCAAGGTTTGAATCCCACCTTAACCACAAATTTTCTGAGGGACTTTGGGAAAAATCACTTAATGTCTATGGAAAAGCTCTATTTGTAAAATATGGATAGACCTTTCCTACGTTGCAAGGATAAACTTATTAATGTTTGTGAAGCGCTCAGATTCTACAGTGACAAGGCCTATATAGATATAGAGACAGACCTCATGTAAAGTGCAGTGACGATGTTTCTCAATGTTGCACAGAACTTTTCCAGAAATTGTTTTATGGAGAGAATTAATAAGCACTAAAAATACAGGGCCCAGACAATCTTTACAGTGGCTACACCTACCATAGGAAATATATAAGGGGTGAGTATGATGATAGCCTAATCTTGAAAAGGGAATTTCATACGTAAATTACATAATAATTGCCCCCAATACACTTTTCTACTGTGCAAACAAAAATACTGTATTCAGCATGTGAATCTGAAACTGGCTTTTTGTTCTGTGTTGGCAGAAGGAGGATTTTTATTTCTATCATAATTATAAGGCATATTTGATTCTGAGGAAGTAGATAATCATTTAATTTTTAAAGAAGCAGATTAGGTTAATATTTTAGGTATAATAGATGCTATTATATTATGTGCAATGAAAAAAAAATCCAACATCCAGGTATGAAACAATATATCCTAAAATCAATATACTCCTAATTCTCTAGGACAGATGTTTACCACTGTTTTCTTGTAGACCACTGATTTTCCTATATCATGTATTCAGTTGTTTGATTTCAATTTATAACTAGCTTGATTCTTACTATAGCAGGATCTGAGTCTGATAATCGACAAAAAAATCTTACCTTCCAGAATAAAACAAGCAGAGCTCTCTCTCCAGCGAAGGCATTGTTTTACAAAATGATGGATGTGCATATTTATTTACTTTGTGACTTCCATGTCAGATTTGTCATATTTCCTCAAATTTTTAGTTAAACCAAGGTTCTGCGTTTTGTTTTTGTTACTACTGAAGCCTGGAGGCTCAATTGTACCTTATAAAAATAAAGCTATAATTTATTTGCTCCATAGATCATGCATGACAATAATCACCCTGGAATTTGAGCTAGGTTCTGATATCTGGCTTTGTTGGTGATGATGTATGAAGTGCACAGGAAGCAGCTCGATTTTCATATTCTGGAATAAACCTGAAATACAGAGAGAAGCAAAATTTGAGTTAAAATATGGAAACATGATAGAAGAGTCATAGGGAGAGTTATATGCGCAGTATGCAATGACAGTAGTATCTTTCTCACCAGGTGGACATTTGGAAATTATATATACAGTAAAGCAATGAAAGCATAGTATATGTGGCAATGAAACAGTGTAGCAGCCATCATCCTGAACTTGTGTACATCACAATTATGCATGCACAAATTTGACTTTGCAGATGCAAACATTAGCAAACATACCAGCCCTTGCATGTACCCTATAAATGGTTTAATATCCGCATGCATTGTGCACAACTGTTAAGCAACTGTTTCCACTAAACTCATTACTCAGTGGGTTTGGTGGGTGCAAATTCTTAACCCTTGTGCACATGCATGTGTATTAAGCAAAGGCTGAGAGCAAATGTTAAGATTTTTTTTACCAATGTTTGAATCGGCAAAAAGCAGGCACAGAGGAGTTGTGTCACTGATTTCACCCATGTTGGAGGGCACAGTTCTAGAAGTTACGACTCTTGAGTTCTATGCCCAGCTCTGTCACCAGCTTACCATGTGATGTTGCAAGCATCAAATTCATGAATCTTTGCGAAGCATTCAGCTATTACAGTGCTGGGGCCATCTAAGCAGATTGATAGACCTCATGTAAGTGAGGTGAAGATGATTCTCAGTGTTACTTTTTTTTACTGACTGAATTAATAAACACTGAATAATGCAGTACAAAAATATTGCCCCCAGAGAATCTCTGCAATAGATAAGGATTTCAGGTCTTATACTGACCACATGAAATATGTAATAGCAATGAGTATGAGGAGACCCTAATGCTGAAAAAGGAATTTCCTTTGTAAATTAGATAATTTCCCACAACCCTCTTTCGCTGTACAAACAAAAACGTAGTAAGGGGTAAAATTCCAAAAGGACTAAGGCGTAGCTTTCATGTCTGCAGTTTGAATTATTGGTGCAAATATGAATGTTTCCATCTTTAGCTACCTGATTTCCCTCCAGCTGTTTTACATTCTCTAGAGTTAGCTATGAGGGTTTTACAATTAACAATACAGTCATATAGTCATTAATAGATCCTGCAGAAGCCTGGGAGAGTAGACGAGCAGAACCCAGAGCAGAACAGAGTGACAAGGTTGCTGGGAAGGAGGAAAGCATGGACAACTTTAGTGCAACGTACTGTTAAAAGTAATGGACTGGCAGTGATCCAGTCATTGAAGATTGAAGCAGTTTTAATTAAATACACTGGTCCCTACAAATACACCTTTGTTCAAGTAAGGGTAACAGACTGTGGAAGAGAGGCACTGTCACCAGAAATGATGTGGTAGAAGGGCAATTCTGATGTCCCAAGTAGGACAAGATTAGAATGCTGTGTTTGATGGTGAAAGACCTGAAGAGGTTTTAAAGCAGAGATATTTGCTAACAAAATCTTTAGGTAGGATTTCACTTTCACAGCAAAAAAGAAATACCCCATAAAGCAGATTGTCTCCTCATTGCATGGGGAGGCAGACAAACACTAACATGGGGCTTAGGAAGGTGAAGACCTGGGATGAAATCCTGGCCCAGCTGAAGTCAATGGAAGTTTTGTCATTGACTTCAGTGGGGCCTGGATTTCACCCCTGAAACGCTTTCACCATGCTGTTTAAAGTATACTGGTGAGCTAACTCTTACGGAAGGAGTAAAGCATGTACAAAAGGGCTTTGCTCTGTGCTAAAAAGCTGCAGGGTTGAAATATATATTTCCTCATTCCTAGGTAAATGGGCTACCTGCACAGCAGGCTGCCATAGCTATGAGAGAATGAGGCTGAATAGAGAATGCTGTCCCCTCCTCCTCCTCCTCAGGACGGGACATTGGTCATTACTCCCCATTACTCCCCCTTTGCAGTGAGTTGCAAAGAGCTGCCCCTGCACACGAGAGTTCAACATCATCTCTACAAGTGATGCAGTCTCCAACTACGGCTGCCCCCTCACTGCACAATGGAATCTCAGGTATTATAGTTCTTATAGACCTTCCATGGGCATCTAGGACTTCCAGAATTTTGCCACAAACTGGTGAATTCTGCACCACTCTACTATTAACCACTACAGCAGGCCTAAGATTGAGGTCACATGATCAAGCCTCCTAGCACTGTACCGTACATAGACAGACTTTTTAATTGCAGGGTATTAATCAGTAACGGTGTTGGCTAGCTCAGTTGGTAGAGCATGGGACGCACTTCACATCAAAGATCATTCGACACATCTCAGATGCCTTACAGATCCCCTGGAAACTCCATACGCCATGGAGACCGCAGGCCAGTGGTGTAGTGGAGCGTACCAATCAAACCCTTAAGCGACACCTCTCAAAAGTGTGCCAAGAAGCCTCCCTGCGATGGCCCGATGCTCTGCCCCTTGTCCTACTCTGTATCCGTGCTCTCCCGAAGGGTAGATTAGGGCTTAGTCCCTTTGAAATTATGTATGGAAGGGCATGGCCTATGAATGGGACACCAGTTCTGGCAGGGGAGTGGGGAATGGGGTGTGGTTTTTTGTCTCAGTATATGTGCTCTCTGTCTGCTGTTCTCTCTTCTCTCCACAGGTATGCCAAAGACTTCCAGCCTTTTCCATTGGATGCCCCTGTCCACTCCTTGCAGCCAGGTGACTCCGTGCTTGTTCGTACCTGGAAGGACGAGCCTCTCCAAGAAAAGTGGAAGGGACCCCACACCGTTCTGCTGGTTTCCCACACGGCGGCAAAGGTCGAGAGACACAAAAACTGGATCCATCACTCTCGCCTGAAGGCGGTGCCTACTCCTCCACCAGTGGAACGGTGGACCATCCAGCCCATCACCACGTCACCCTCTGACGATCTTGGACTCAAATTTTTGTTTAAAAAGACATAAGCATGGGAGGGGGGAGGGGGCTACAAAGGGCATATACACCATGAGGTCCCTCATAGTGGGTGTCATTTGCCTAGTATTCCCCATATCTCTCTCTTAGGAAGGGATGGATGGGAACCATTAATTTGAATGTAAATACCTATGAGGCCCTTGAAATCACCTTTGCCCGTGAATTTAATCTGTCCAACTGCTGTATATGTTCCCAGATCCCCTACCATGCGGCCAGCTTCCCTTGGAGAGCAACCCCCCCACAACTGGTCAGACCTCTGTGATGGGTGGATAAAAGCAAACGCCACTCAGTTGCAAACGCAGCCCACCTTAACGGAAAACTGTACTAAAGAGGCCAAGTTTAGCAGCAACACTGATCCCTGGAAACCCTACTGGAATGCGACCCATGCCCCCAAACCCATCCAGCTACGCTCCGTCCCCATGGGCCTCCTTTGTTATCACCAGGAAGCCACTGCTAACCATAGCTGGTTTGCTGGCAATAGTACCTGTCAGTATTATTTGTCCCCATCCGCAAATACCACTATTCCTCTATGTAATAGTGCTGGCCAAGACACAGGTGAAGGGCTTCAATATTACAGCCGCAGTCCACAAATTGGGCCATAATGGCATGGTAGCCAATGGACAGTCCTTTTATGTCTGTGGTAACTCAGCCTATAAAAGGCTACCCCACCGTTGGCACGGAAGCTGTTATTTGGGATACCTCACCCCTCCCCTTCGGGTCATGGCCCACCTCCTGTCGGGCCGTCTCTGGCATCAGCGGTCCCTGTACGCCACCCCCGTGCCCATTAGTGAGGAAGATAGATTCTTCTCCCAGCATACGGGGTGGGTAGGTTGGCCAAGCTCTATTGCCAGCTCTCTGTATTCCTCACCAAATTCGCCAGTGATACCTCGGCCATAGAGAGGAGCCTCAACACAGAACTTTATCAACTCCGGCTGCTGTCCCTGCAAAACCGCCAGACCCTAGATTACCTTCTGGCTGCACAGGGTGGGGTGTGTGCTCCTGATTGGGGATGAATGCTGTCCGTATGTCCCAGAGGATTCACAGGATATTAACAAGCACATCCTGTCAGCTGAACAGGCTCTTAACCAGTGGAAAGCCCAGGAAAGAGAGCCCACTATCTTTGACTCACTCTGGGGATGGTTGCCTGACCTGGGGGGAGGCATTGTTCATCTCCTGTTCACAGGTGCCGTGGTGTGTATTATCATTCTCCTCTTACTTGCCTGTTGTAAAGCACTCATATATAAAATGGGTGCCTCCCGCTCCACAGAAACCCCATTATATCCTCTTGTTGAGGATTCTAACTCCTCAGCACTTAGTCACTTATTGTCCTTGGAATATGAGAAAACTCAGTTACAAGCTTGTTGAGTGTTCTCAAAGGAGGGAGTTGTTGGTGACACTGGGCACTACTCTAGGTAACTCGGGAGGGTGGAAGACCACGAGTGTTGATGAAGCCCTCTTGCTCTAGGCCCAGGCAAACTGAAGCCCTTCCGCTCCTTGAACTTTCTGTGACCCTGCAACGACTATGAGGAAGCCAGCACACAAACAGACAGGCTTGCACACGACTCGCTAGCCAAGGCCAGCTTCGGCCTGGGAAATATATAGATAAGGCAGAAATGTTTAGCAAAAACTAGTAATAAATAGAACCAAATAAGGCAAGGCTCGGGCAATGGTAATGAGGAAAAACATAACTGGCTGCTTTAGCTGATTGGCTACGGTATTGGACGGGGCAACAGGTAATTGGTTGTATAAGCTTGTGTAGTGAAGTAGGCAAAGGTATAAATTGTATACTGTAATCTGCATTTGGGACTGCAGGATTTGAGACAGTTCAGTCTCATAGAATCATAGAATCATAGAATATAAGGGTTGGAAGGGACCCCAGAAGGTCATCTAGTCCAACCCCCTGCTCGAAGCAGGACCAATTCCCAGTTCCCAGTTAAATCATCAAACTGGGATTAGGTCTCCTTGCGCCCTATCTGAAGCTTCAAATAAAACTCTCTGCTTCTCCACCCTGTTGTGGTCATTGGCGCGACGCATACTGGGCAACGAACCCAACTGTTGCTTGCCTCGGGCACTCTGTGCCGGCAACAACGGCATATCAATAAGCAAACTGCTACAATACATAATTATGACTACTTTTGTACTTCCCCACTGCCTTTGAGATTCCTGGCCTAATTCTTTTCTCACTTAGAGCCTGATTCAAATTTTGTTCAAGTTAACAGATTGACTGAAGTAGGCTTTGAATCAGTTCTTCAGGGTTTGTCAAGCGACTGCGCTAACATGTGTTAGTTAACCTCCACCTTTTCCCTAATGCAGACACAGGCTAACACCTTTTACTTTGCTTTAGCTGAACTTTGACCTGCTAAATCAAGGTATTATGTGTTAATTTGCATCTATACTAAGGAAAAATTCAGGGTTAGGTCAGGATTAGTTAAAGAGTGTTAGCTCCCCCCACCTTAACTTCAACCATTGTTCTCAAACTAGACAAACTCTATGACAGGCAGAGTGGTCCACTGAATAGGCCCTGAACTAGGGCTCTGAAAACCTGCATTCTGCTTCTGGCTTTGCCACTGACATACCATGTGACTTTGGGCAAGTCACTTTACTTCTCTGGGCCTCCTTTCCCCCTCCAACCTTTTATCTGACTTCTCTATTTAGACTGTAATTTCACTGTGGGCAGGGACTGTCTCTTTCTATGTGTTTGTATATCACGTAGCACAATGGGGCCACTAGTTGATCATCATCCCCCCAATGCCAAGCTGTGAAAAAAGAAGGGAGGCTAGGTGGTGCTACTTTACATGCATATATGTCACACAGGTTCAGTATTTTGTGTATTTTTAAAATGAGTCCAGAGAAATTGTTTTCTAACCACTCAAATTAACGCACACCCCCTTCGATACAAAACAGTGCTATGCCCAACAATTCTGCCAGCCAGCAATAGGAGCAAAATGTTTACCCCGCACTGGGCTGTGATTGAATTTGCTCAGATTAGACCCAGGGCTGAGCAAACTTGAAATGCCTTCATTTGAGGGAAGTTCTCATTTTTATGGAGATGTTCAGCTGGCTCTATTTCTAATTTAAGGTCCAAGCTTTCCAATTTCCCCATAAGCATGTGGTCAAACACCAGCCTAATTGCTATTCTTTTTCCTCCTTGCAGAATTGAAAAGTGATCACGTCTGATGAGAATTCATTATAAAGTTGACAATTTGAGATTTGCCCCTTCCCTTTAGCAAGATTCTGCAGAGCTTCATTCCTTTCAGTCCACACTGACTCTTATCCCAAGGCTTCCCTTGCTGCTTCTATGATGCCCCAAAATATCTGTGCTGGAGGGTTAAGACTATTCCTCCTACAAACAAACAAAGGAATGAGAAAATTCTCTCTACGGTGGAACGATAAATGTAAAGAGCTTATATGTTAGCCATTAGCAGAAAAACATGAATTCATTTTACAGTACTAAAAGCAGAGGGGAAGAAAGAGATTTAAAGGAGGGGATCTGGGGATCCAAAAACAAATCAAATAAACCAAAGAACGCCCCCGCCCATAAGAATGGGAAAAATATGTGTGTCTTTACAAAGAAGATTAGTTTTCGGCGGTGTGATATTGATAGAGTCTTGGTCCCTGTTCAGCCTGATTAAATAGCTATGCACCTTCTTAATCTCACATTAATCCCTGTAATGATTGTCGCACAGTTACAATTCTTCTCACCTGGTCAGAGGCTACCCACCTGTGATCCATTTCCAATGTATCTTGCCTCTGTTTGCAAATACATTGTTATGGGTTTACGGGTACAATGGTGGGAAGAAAAAAAGGAGTCTCCCCCCACCCCCTTTAAAAAAACCCTGTCATTGCCTTCCCTGAGCAGTTCACTAAACTAGAAATTAATTTCTCTCCATGACACTTATTTGCAAGCCAAAGCGCTTTTTTAAATTTTTAAATACCTGGTCTGGAAAGAGTTAAAGTCATTATCCCCTGGATGTCCACAGAAGCAACATATCCCTGTTGTGTTCTGTCAGAACGGCTGGGGCAGTTTCAGCAATGACTTCATCGCACTGCATTGCAACACTGCACAGTGCCCAACTGCTGGAGTTTGCTAATTTGTGTGTTTTCACTCGGGGCCTGCTGATTCAATCATTTTAAAGATGCCCATTTCTTCCAAACCAGGGATTTTATGACTCTAAGGATTAGAAGCTGCTATCCCAATAAACCCTGGAGCTGTATATATTCCGATTTTATGGTAAGCTTCACTAATAAACTGTTTAAAACATATGCTAATTGTGTTTATTGTATTCTTTAATTATCATATGCATCATTAAAGATGTACCATCCCATTTGGAATCTTAATACCTAACTCCCCCCACCCCTTTTTTTTAACAATACACAGTACAGCATTACCTTCAAAAATCAGAAAGGGGGGGAACAACAAGGAAGCCTGTTTTTAATTTTCATTGTTTATTTAAAGTAGAGACTTTGAATTTCATTTAAAATCTCCCTCCTAAAGAAAGGAAAGCAGAGAATAACATAACAAAACCTGGCATTATGCTTCTGTGCCTTTTATTCCTTAACTTATTTTAAAATATGACTCCTTATAATCTATTTTGCTTACTTTTCCTCCCCAGACTGTTCAAAAATGATAATTTATTTAGCCAAGATGGATTACAAAAGATCAGAATAACTGTCCCCTTATGGTTATAGCATGTTAGATGACAATTATTCTGATCATGTGTATATACACACACACACATACAACTGTATATGAGTGTATAGATAAAAAATTCTGGCTCAGTTCTGTGCCAAGTATTTCACAATTAATTAAGAACCACAGCATCTTTCCAAAGGAGGGATGCCAGTTGTCCTAGTCATCTGAGCCATTTTCCTTGTGTGTTGTTAACAGTGATCTTGACTCTTAATGTGATTTTATCCTGCCCCTTTAAAATGAGGTTTTCCTTGTGTAATACAACGCTCGTGTTTAAAACTCATGAGATATTCCACTGCCCTACTACGACATCTCCCCACCTACCTTTACTACTGATTGCAATTCCCTGCACTGATCCATCTATACATTTTTTGCATGGGAAAATGAATTTGAATTAACATTAGGGTATTTAGTCCACTGGCTAAAAACAAAACAAAATCCAGCTTCTCTTTGACTGCAGAAACTCCGTCAAAAAGTGTACAGGGAAAAGGGTCTATATGCACTTAATCAGTCCTTGTTCAGCAATATTGTAGATTAGAATAATAAATACATACAGACATTTGCCAGCAAAGCGAGCGCACACACATTTATCACAAACACATTCTTCCCTTTCACTGAGTAGCATGTGCACGTGCTTCCACCCTTTAAATATGAAGCCCCTGCACAGAACTAACTGCCAGTGACAGGAGCTCTGCAATTGGTATTGACATACAAAGGGAGAAAATTGTTAAAAGGTGAACCAGCAGCTAGCACAGTATAATGTTAATTCTTTGGCTTTACAGATAACCATTTTGAAAATTCCTCTTTAAAGTACTTTTTTTTTAAGCAAGTGAACATCCCCCCCCCCAAAAAAAGGGGGGGGACTCCCAATAGGCAGGTACTAAGGCACATTTTAGCAGAAAGATTTGAAATGTTGGTCTGCTTCTGTGCTGGCATAGGGAAGAATTTGCTGAAAATTTGAAAAAAGATTTGGGGAAAAAAGTCTTGGTGGGGGGGTGGAGTGGGGAAGGGGAGATGTTTCCTTTCAGGTACCAAGTGCTAATGTAGCATCGTGAATGAAATAGCTTCAGCAAATTGAATAACATCATTTGTAGATGCCAATTCAAAATATTATTGAAAAACGGAGATGCGGTTGTGCATTATTCTTAGAATATATGTTCTCTGGAGTGGAGTCAATGTCCTCTTGTGTATCCACACAGTGTTTAATACAATGGCATCCTGATTTGGATTGGGGTCACTATGGTAATATACATGTTAATACTATTTGCCCATCCCATCAGAGTGGAAAAAATATAATTTTTGGGGTGTAAATAATGCCAACCAATATCCTGCCACATCCCTGTCCTATAAACAAAGAACCTAATTGGTTGTCAAATTCTAATTTTAGGGACCCTTGGCATAAATATGGAGTAATCTGCATGACTACCATGGAGTTAATTCAGATTTACATCAGGATCAGTGAGATCATCATTTGGCCCTCTCTTTTGTAATTTTGCCGACAAGGTGACCTATGATACTTGAATATTTAAAAACATGGTTATTCTAAAATTCTGCAATCTGGCTTGCGTATGTTTGCTAGGATATATAATGTCAACAAGTGGTATATTTGAACCTGCAACAGGAAAGTCTGGATTATCTAAAATAAAGACAAATTTATATGTAACTAGAGGTGTGCAAAAGTTTCCTATGCATAAAACAGAGCCACATGCTTTCAGTCGGCATGACATTCAGTTTAGATTAAGGAAAATAAACTCCAAACAGAACAAACGTGAAGTCTCCATGAAAGAACACAGTGTGTGTGTGTGTTTGTTCCTCCTTTTTATAGGCTGCTGCAACTCTGAGAACAAAATGGCAGCTGCCTCTGCACTCAGAGTTCGTAGACATTTAAAGGTGCAGTACACTGGAAATAATGACATCACAGTTTTCATGGCTACGTACAACACAGAGGGTAAAATCCTGGCCCCAATGATGTCACTGGGAGGTGTGCCATTGACTTCAATGGGGTTAGGATTTCATCCAGAGTGTCTGGCTTTCCTTCTGCTCTGACTTGACAGTGGGGTGTTGCGAGGAACTCAAGAACACACTGAAACGCTGGCTGCCCCACAGCACACTCTTCAAGCAGCTCTGTGCTGCATGCTGCGGAGGAGAGAGTGGACGCTGAAAAGCTGACGGCAGGTGCTGTGTGAGCCTCCAACAGAGTCGTATTTGGGAGGCCAGTGGGAAACTGATTCACTGAATCCACTGCAGTTTGTTGCTCAGGCAGGCCTGCCGCTGTACACTGGGGAGCGCTGGCCTGCCTGCCTCTGCCAGTGACTATACCAGTGTACTTTCTGCTGACTGGCTGAACGCAGCTGTGGTCTACAATGCAGGTTTGCCCTGGATGGAGCCACTGGAAATGATCATTTTACACGGCCCCTAATAAATTAGAGCTTCACCCTCTTTCCCTCTTATATTAATGGATTTTATGCTACTTTTTAAATTATGCTGTTTTCAGATATGAATACATTTGAATATCAGACTGTAGTACCCAAATATAAATGTCAGGACCTCTGCACGTCTCCGGCACGTAGGGGCTAATTTAATCATCTCAGCAAAGTGATTTCAGTTCAGACAATTATTTGGTTTGAGTGGCCGGGCTCTGAGGAGAGTACTCTGTAAAGGGAGAGCAGTTATGTACTGCTCAGGGCCATATTTTGTAAAAAACAATAACAGCAGCAGCAGCATTTGAACAAAGATGTCGGCCTTCCTTTGCCTGCACAGTTACTGCTCATCGGAAAGCTGTGTGTACAATCCCCTGGTCTGGGGATGCAGATGTGGGAAATGCATGTGCAAAAACAAGGGTATTTGGGCACATGGATCTTGTGCCTCCTTTATCTAAAATTTTACTTTGAAGGTTTCATTCCTCCTCCCTTCCACACGTCACACTTTAGACCCTTCAAACAAGACATTGGCAGCACAGGCCATGTATTTTTTAAAGAAGTAGCTCTGTTAGACACACATAGTAAACCACTCTTTATTATCTGTCTGGGCCACCCACCAGAAGGACACATGTCTACCCAGTTTTAGCCAGCGTCTTACAGACTTCCCAACAGCAGAAGCTCAGCCTGAGTCCAGAGAAGTTCCATACAAGCCACCACTATACAGTGAAACCCTGCAATGGGTCATCAGCAGGACTAGAACCTGGGACTGTCAGCCCCAGAACCACAGGCTTCTACCAGCTGAGTTAAAGGAGTACCTAAACCCACATAAGCCATTCTGTGTGGCAAATAACTACAGTGCTGAAAACTGTGATTTTTAGTCTGTGCTTTGCCCAAAATGTTTTGCACAGGACACTTCAGTGTACTTAAACATAATTAAACCACAAAAGCCTGGGTTTCTCCCTCAGTCACAGTTTGCATGCTTCCAATAAATTGGTTTTATAATCTCCCCGTGCATGTGCATCTTTGGCTAAACAGAATACTTGTGCAATGACAAAAGCTAAGGCTTCAGCATGTATAACAAGACTAGTGATAGTGGGTCTCCTTTCTGGAGCCCCGTTAGCAGATCACAGCAGCTTATGATGACTGGCAAGCGAGGAGATCAGAGAGACTGTGGAGACAGAGAGCTCAAGGAAAATGGTGGACAGCCATAGACTGCAGGTAGGTGGAAGGATTGGAGAGAAGATGGGAGAATGTCATCTCTAAGGCTTGGCTGTCAGCAACCAAAAGAAAGGGGGGACGTCAGTCAAGAGGATAACCTCATGTTATGCTAGTGTATTGGGGGAAAATCTCTCTTCCTTGCGTGTGGGCACTAAGGCATGCTGCATGTGCAATTGCCTGGTCTGTGTATGCAGATGTAGAGAATGTATATGCAAAACCAGGTTCTTTCTTGCACGTATGGACCTTCGCATTGACGTTGTCCGCTCATGTGTGTGCGAAGTGTTTACTCACTCAGGGAAAAGGAACGGTACCATCTCAAATACAACTAAACACAGCTCAAATAGGATTTGATACAATTCCTATAGAAGTCAATGGAAAGCCTCCTGTAGATTTCAATGGTAGTTGAATTGGGCTCATACTGAATGAATATAATTCCTAGAGGATTGTTCATAACTCACAGAATTTTAAAAAATAGTGAAAACATTGAATAATTTTGAACATTCCCCCCTAAAGTAAATGAAATTGTTATCTTCTTTGAGGTTACTTGGTGAACAGAAAAAGAGGCTAAATCCAAGGGCTTAATTATTTGTTAACTTTATATGCCATATATATGTAAAATTATTTTATTAGCTCTAACATTTAGTAAATGTCAGTGGGAAAACTACCCTGCTTCACTAATGAAAACAGCAATACATGTTTCTACGTGCACTGAGCCAGCTTTGTTCAACTATCAGAAAATCAATCTAACATGTCAAGCTGAACATATCAATGAGACCGTTTGCAGTCAGAGGGGTTTTCTTATGAAGTGCTGTCAATGGTCAATGCCACACTTGTCTGATCCGTCCAGGTCCTCTAAGTGGAAAGATTTTTTTTTTTACCCAATAGAAGAGAAAGGAAAAACAGGAAAATGTAAGCCACAGTAATTCATCTCAAGT